ATTTTACTTTTTCTTTTTTCATATAAATTGATAAAAATAGATTAAATATTTTTTGTTAAGAAAATAGAAAATTTAGGTTTTTAAGAAACGGTACTTTAAGAAAACGGGATTTCATGTTTAGGTTTATTCTCAAATTTAAAAAAAAAAACAACATCAACAACAGTATCAAGCCTTTGTCCCACTACATGGGATCGGCTACATGAAAATAACATTAAAAATTAAATCGGGGTAATTTATAGAAACCGAAGAAGCAAGTTCCATATTTGCTCGTTTTTATTTTTTATTTTTTATTTTTTGTTAGTATGATTTTTTAGCTAATTTAGGTTTAAAACTTGCTCCTTTTTATAAATTTGCCTAAAAGGGGTGACTGGGGTGATGGCATCGATTGTTATGGGGTAGTTGGTCTTTTTGCTCATAGGCAATGGAGAGGATTGTTGTTGTTTGGTGGAGATGCAACAAAGCATGAAAAATGAGGATTATGAGGAAATAGGCGGACTTAGGATTACACGGATAAAAGTTATTCAAAATGATTTGTGAAAAATATAGTTTACCCTCAGACAATACCATAGTTTAAAATTGCGCAATGAGAGGCGCGCCTCTGCGCAATTCTGGGCAAAATCGCCTCATTGCTTAAGCCTTTTTGGGTCTTCATGAGGCGTACGCCTCGTGTACTGTAAGGCGTGCCTCTAAGGCTTAATTGCGCAATTCAGCCTGAGGCGCATGCCTCTAATTCCGGGACCCACTCACTTAAGTCTCAATGAAATAATACTTCATTCCTCCCCTCCCCTATCGGCCATACTCGAACCCGACCAGAAAAAAGCCGCAGGCCTCAAGTTCGTTCGCACGCCGCTCGGCGCCGCCTCACTCTGACCATCTTGAAGTGTTCGTCCGCTCTCTAGGAGTCAACAACCAATTTTAGATAATTTTTTTAAGTTCAACTAAAGATTTTTCAAGTGAAAGAAAATCTAGGGTTTTTTATTTTTTGAATTTTTTTGTTTGTTTTCGGATTTTTGCATTAGGAAACATGGTTAGAGGCAAGGAAAAGGCAAATACGTCATTGCGGCGTGACCCTTCTTAGAAATATAGTGTGCAAGTTGAAGTAGGAGGCGACGAGAAGACATATGTGTATTTAAAATGCAATTTTTGTGATAAGCTGGTGAAGGGAGGAGTAACTCGCATGAAGGAACACTTATCTGGCTCACATAAAAATGTATCACCTTGTGCGAATGTTTCGGATAATGTGAAGGAGGAAATTACAGCTTATATGAAAAAGACTACGATGGTCAAACATTTACAATAGGAGCATTTTGATGAAAGTGTCGAACATGGTGCTTACTTCGGGAACAAGAGTGGAAAGGGCTCTTCCTCCACTATACATAATAGAGGTGCACGGTTCCTATGGACCAGTATATGACTAATCCAGGAGAGGATAGAGGACAAGCATAGATGATGCCTGCTGCTGGTACCAGAGAGGGTCGACGGCAGGTTTACATGGATATTGGTAGATTTTTTTTTGAGAATGTCATATCATTTAATGTTGCGACATTACCGGCCTACTTCAATAAGCTGCGGTCTGTTGGATTGTATGGGAGAGGGTTGAAAGCACCTTCCATGTACGAGTTGAGAACATGGAATTTGAAGGAGTTGCAGAACACAGAGCAGAGCATTAATGAGATTAAACGGACATGGATTGAGACTGATGTTACCATTATGTCAGATTGATGGTCTGACATGAAGAGCAGGAGCTTGATTAATATCCTTGTGAACAATCCCTACGGCACGATGTTTTTACGATTAACTGAAGCTTCAGATGAGGTTAAAAATGTTGAATTCATTTTAAATTTACTAGATGAGGTTGTTGAGGAGATTGGGGAGCAATTGGTTGTCTAGGTGGTGACTGACAATGCCAGTGCATTCAAAGCAGTTGGTCAAATGTTGACGGAGAAGAGGAAATACCTGTATTGAACCCCCTGCGCAGCACATTGTATCGATCTTATATTGGAGGAGCTTGGTGATTTACCTCAACATAAGTGCGCTCTTTTTAGGGCTAAGAAGATCACTAAGTTTATATACAACCACTCATGGGTTTTAGCCTTAATGAGAAAGTTTTTAAAGAAGGAAATCATTCACCCTGCAACTACTAGGTTTGTTATTACATTTGTTCACTGCAAATCATTTTCACTTCCTAATGCAAATTTATTCTATAGGTTTGCCACATCTTATTTGACACTGCATAGCCTGTTGGATGTTGGACAACCTCTTGAAGCAATGTTTACATCATCATAATGACTTAATTCTGCGTGGGGGAAGAAAACTAAGGGGAATGAAATAAGAAGGTTAATTCTAAATGATAAATTTTGAGCTACTGTGGCTTAGTCATATTGAGCACGAGACCCTTGGTTCAAGTTCTACGTTTAGTGGATGCCGAGAAGAAACCAGTCATAAATTTTATTTATAATGCTATGGATGATGCGAAGGAGTTGATTGCAAATAACTTGGGAGAAGAGGAGGCAAGTTATAGAGAGATTTGGGATATCATTGATGCTCGATGGGTGGTCCAATTACACCGTCATCTACATGCAGCGGCATATTATCTTAATCCTCAATTTCAATATTCAGAGAGGAAATCCTTAAACCCGGAGGTGAAGCTTAGCTTGTATCACTGCATGGAACGACTAATACCGGACCAAACTGTCAAAGAGCTTGCAGATTTACAAGTTGTTTTATTTCGGAATAAGGAGGGATTTTTTGGTTTGCAAGCAGCAAAATCAATTATTATCAAACGGTCTTCAGGTATACTTATTTTTGTAAATGCATAACACTTTAATATATTCTGACTTTTGATTTTCATTTTTCTTCTTGAAAATAGTTGAATGGTGGATTCAATTTGGTGATTCCACCCCTGAGTTATAGAGTTTTGTTGTTAGAGTTTTAGGCCTCACTTGTTCTTCTTCTGGGTGTGAGCGAAATTAGAGTACATATAGTCAAGTGCAAATAAAGAGAAGAAATCGGCTTTCAACACTCAGAATGAACTCCCTTGTGTATATTATGCACAACAAGAGATTGAGAGAGAGGAGGTTGAGAAAAAAGGGGTTGAAGGATGATGAGGACCCGTTAGTGTGTGATAATGTGTCATCTGATAATAAGTGGTTCATAGATAATGAGACAGATTTGCCATTATCAGACCTGCAATTAGAGGATCTAAGTGTGGATGTCTTGAGGGACGAAGCAGATCAAGTGAGCACATCCACTACTGTCTCACCACACACATCCACTAGTTTTGCAGCACAACAATCAAATTAAGGTATTCCACATCTTCTTATATGCTAGTATTACATTATATTTATATCAATTGGGCAATTAACATGATAATGATCATTCTTATTGAACAGGGAAGAGAAAAGTGAGTCACATTGAAGATGATGAAGATATGACATTCTTAGATACAATTGGAGAAAAAGATTCCCTTGAAGACCTATTTAGTGATGGGACATGATTAGATTTTATATGTTCTTTGTACTTTGGGAGTTTTGATAGATTAATATTTTGTGGTTTTGTAATTTGGGATATGATTTTATTGCATCTATTTTCTTACTTTCCACTAATTTCACATGTCATTTAGATGTTTTTATTGTATGATAGAATCTTGCTATTATTTACCTGTTAAAATTCTTAAATTCTTATTTACGCAATTCTGCATCCGTGAGGCTTACATCTCACACCGCCTCGAGGCTTACGCCTCGCCTCACGGACAAAAAATGCCTCAAGGCACGGACGAAAAACGCCTCGAGGCTTATTTACTCAATTTTAAATCTTGGACAATACTTGACAGAAATAAATGAACGATGAGATTTTTAATGTCAGCCCCAAATAGTTGGGATGAGTATAATGATTATGATGATTTTATTAGTATTAGTCCCCTTTCCTGACGGTATATTTCATTTTTCTAACTTTCACTCTACAAGAGGTCTCATTTATTAGTGTCATAGCATATAATTAACTGGCAAAAATATAGCATAGTATGGTGACTCATTTTAAATATCTTATGAAGTATGCTCACAATTTGTTCCTTGGATGATGGAGACACAACTGAAGGAAGAAAAAAAGAAAAAAGAGGGACTATTTTGATTTTTAACTTGTTGGACTCTCCACACTATTTGCAACGCTAGGTGGCATTCTATTGCATATATCTTCGATAGCTTCATATATATTGGAACCAAAAATCATTCCCTTGGTGTACTTACATGATTTTCTTAGCATGATTAAAATAATAATTTTATTCTATCTAGTATCTATACATTTCCAAAATTTTATTTAATGCTAGTGTCGTCTTCGTAGATTGTAGTTCATATCCCTAACATAAATCCAATTTGAATTCTCCGATACATAAGATTATTATACGGAAGCACTTGGATATAAAATGCAATCTGATTGGCTTCTGTTGGTCAAAGCTTCTCGATAATGTTAAACAAATTTCATTGGAGTATGTGTAAATGTAAAAGTGTGGTATGCACATGCTTTTATAGTCAGCTTATACACTACTTTTTTTTTTCTTATCTCAGGCTTCGGTAGGACAACTTTCTTCTTGCTTTCCTTTTAAACTGCAATCATTTCAAAAAAAAATTGTGCTAGGAAGCTACTTCCTATTGCGGCTTTCAAAAAATTACTTTCTTCACAGCGACTTTACAATCACCTTTAAAAAAGCTGCAGCCGTCCCAAACAGTCTCTTAGACTTCGTTTGGGACAGCTTTTTTACTGCTTATAGCAGCTTCCGAGTACAAAAATTAAAAAAGCCGTCCCAAATGAATCCTTAATCTCATTTTCCTCCCCACATACTTCGAAAACGGTTAAGTTATGAGCTAATTTTCTGTATGTATGGTGTGCATTAGCAAACACCTTTTTGTTTTGAAGTGCTGAAAATTAATGTTGAAGCTCTTTTCTTTTTCATTTTTGAAATCATGCTCGCTGAGTTGCATTTCTTGATTCGTATGACGTTGCAGGTTTTGAAGTAAAATTGGACCCTATAAAAGATGAAATGATGGAGAGGGGAAGCTGGTTTTGGGAATACAAAATGAACGGTTCCCACATTCAACTACAAAAGATTGAGCTTTAGGCTCTCCGAGCTTCAGCTGTGGCTTGCGGATTGCTAACAAGTAGCGTTCTCACTTTGCTAATTCCGGTTCTTGATTGCCAAACAGTTCAACTTCTTGTTGTACTGTTGCTATTTGAATTTTAAAGACCTTGCTTACCATTTAATTATGGAGCTATCATTCCATTTACAGATTATGATAGAGATGTAAATTAGTAGTTTATGTTGGTATCAAAATTGTAACCAAGTGACAAAAATATCTCTAATGTATTATAAATAAATTTGAATTTTGCTTCTCATGAAACTGGAAAATATAACTGAATAAGCAAAGGTATTGATCCATTTTATTTCTTTGTTTTGCAGCTACTTTCAAAAAATAAATAAATAAAATAAAATCAGTATTATTACTAATTTGTTCTTCTCTTGAGAACTGTTATTGGAATTCCTACCTGCATTTGGGTCATTTCTCAATTTTTTGATCAAAGAGAACACAATGACGGTTTAGAAATAATTTGGGTGGTTCTTTTGTAGTTAAGAAAGATTTTAGTCAGGAACTTTATATATGTCCCAAAATATTAGGGAAATATATTTGTGCCTAACTCCGAAGAGATTATTACATGTAGAGATCGGACGTAGAACCGTTCGGTTTTATCTTTGTGAACATTAAAGGTACAATTATTGTACATTATTATGTTTTTATTGTTCACAGGGACAAAAAAACAAACGATTTTCACTGTATGATGCCTTCGTTGGCAACGATGACCGCCACTTCCTTAGTGGTGTATACTTCATTGTCTTTGAATTGCCGATGCGGCATTATGCTCGCCATATGGGTTCCTAATCAAGCTGATGAGTCATTCGTCGAAGCCTGGAAGCCCAACGCGGCTTCAAGTTTACCTATCGCCGAAGCTCTGGTACCTCCGCGTCACCATGATCGATGCACGGGAAATATCGACATCGATGTGGGAGATATCTTCATTCATATACCACCGTTCGGTGCGGTTTCTCTCATTTTCTTCCTCGTTGGAACTAGGATTTTGCTAGCATTCATCTTCTCAGGATTTGAGATTAGAACTACTCATTTAAGAATTTCTTATCCAGATCTATGAGTTTGTTGGGGAGTCATGTGGGTCCCTTCAAGAAAACATATTGTTGCATGTGCAGCTGTCTACAGATCATGGAGGGAATTGTGCAAGGAAATTTTCATGAGTCTAGAGCTCTCTGAAAAGCTCATCTTCCCTGTTTCCTTGAAGCAGCTTGGTCCTCAAGATGGGATGATCCAATGCTTCATTAAGAGGGATAACAAGCTGCAGATTTTACTCCAAGAAAGTCTCACCTAAAGTACCAACAGGCAGCCACAACATAGCCCAGGTCTCATATGAATTGAATTTACTTGACATTCGAACCTTCTTCCCTCCGTCTCTCTATTTTTCGTGAATCCCAGGCGAAAGCAGCTGAGTTCAATCCAGTCGACTTGGAGAAGATGAGTGGCGCGGGCGGCATGCGATCGGGACGTTCACACGAAGAGGAGAATGATTGCTACGCAAAGTGAAGCATGCATTTCAGAAAGAGTAGGGGTGAGGTATTTGACGGGAGGTTATGGAGTGGTAGTTTTGATGAAGACATGAGTTTTTAGATTATACAATAGTAAATAGTAAAGCTTGGGTGTTAGATAAATAAATAGAGTATTTTTAAGTGTTAGGTATGTAAAAATCCCATAAAAATATTTGGTGGTAGGTACGGATTTCAATTGATGATGTTTTAACATGTAAATTGAAGTTGAAGTAGGGTTGGTGTGATTGTCATCATTGCAGTAAATTTTGTGTACATTTGATATTCTAGATATAATATTCATTTATTTGCATTTTTTACTTTGATGGATCTTTGTGTTGTTAGATTGTTATGTAATGATATATTTTAGATATTGTGTTATTTGGCTATGTTTCTATTTTAGATCTTATGTTGAGTTATTTGTTGATTTAGGGTTTCTATGGGATTAGAGCGGTTGGCGTAAATATGTAGTCAAATTATTGTGCGAAAAACATTATTATTGAAGATTATTGTGAGTATTATTTTCTTAGAAAATATTTATAGCAATTGTTTAAGCTTTAGGAGATTTGGTTGTGAAAAGATTGTCATAGTAAATTTTTAAATATATATATATACTATAAGATATGTTCAATTATTCATAAATCATAGCCATTACCAAAATCAAAACTTGTACGAGTTTAATTATTAGTCATCGTACTATACAAGACACCCTTCGTACTCTATGAATCACATGTAAGAATCTTTTTGGATGAATTCAATATGGTTGGCATGATCATTATTATGCTTCATATTATAAGAACCTCTATTCATATTATATGATACACTTGTTAGAATCCTTAGGACAAAATCAATATGTTTGGTACGATCATAATTGCTATTAATAATATTAAAAATCTATTCATATTATATGATGAATTCAGTCAAAAGTTATATAGATAACTCCTTGGGATGAATGTAATTCTTTAAGATTCTCTAGTACGATATCGATCATACTGTATGATTTGACCACCTTTTTTTGACAAATCATCTAGATGAATTAACACGTCTAATCCAATTGTATGATATCACATCGTATTGAACAATTTGTGAAAAAATCTATAAATTGGAGAGTTTTTCAAAGGTTTCAATCACTCAACTCATCCTTTCTTCAAACTCCTAGCCTCTCTAATCTAAACCCTTCAATGGCTGCTGGAAGCAAATGTGGTAGAAGGACCCAGGGGAGCTCCTCCTCCTCTCGTTACTTTGACGATTGTTTTCTGTCCGCAAGAGATGAAGATG